GAGGGTGGGTGACTAGTGACAGTGAGGGGGGTGACAGTGAGGGTGGGTGACTAGTGACAGTGAGGGGGGGGGTGATTGGTGCCTACCTGCATCTCTGCTTCCTCTCCCAGGCTGCTGCTCCTTCCCCTCCTGGGCTCTGTGTGAAAGGAGTAAACAGAAAGTGAGGTCACTTCCTGGCCCCGCCTCACCCATCACACAGAGCCGCATGGGAGAGGAAGCCGGAGACCTGGCAGGGAGGAGGTGAAGCTGCCAGGTCTCATGGGGGGGGGGGTGACTAGCAGAGCGGTAGGTTGTGGGGGCCCCGCGCTGCATCAGGGGCCCCACAACCTATCAATTAAATAGTTTTATTATTTTTTGCCGTTCCAGTTGGAGAGATCTCTGATCTCTCCAGCTGGAACAAGGCTGTGCTGCCGGGCCCCTGACTGCCTCGGGCCCTCGGTCCGTGACCGATATGCCCGAGTGGTCAGTCCGCCCCTGATCATGCTCAATAAATATTGAATATTATCACAACAGCACAACCCTAAATCACTTTACCTTGTGAATTGCTTTATGTGTGAAAAATGTGCCCTCTTTTTTTCATTTTAATATAAATTTGCACTTTTATTTTATATTCTTTATACTACACGATACAGCCATTTTTTGTAAAATATTGAAAAAGGTTAAACAACCATAATAGTAAATAAAAGAGAAGACATTTGCTATTTTATAAATTAATCTAGTTACACCCCCTCCCCCCCCAGCTGTCAATCAAACAACTCGTTCTGTTACTTCCTGGTTTGGTTAGCTCAGTGAAGATAAACTCAAGAGGCAGCAATTGCCCAGAGCACCTGCTTTGCAAAGACTTCTCATTGAGCTGCATTTGGGAAGTTTGTGATTGGACAGCCACAGAAAGTCTGGGCTTTATTTTGTATTCTGGCAGTAGCGTGTCACTTGAAGGGATCCTATAGTGCCAGGAAAACAAAGCCATTTTCCTGGCACTATAGATTTCTAAGGTCCCCCCTCTCTCGGTGCTGAAGGGGTCACTTTCCTGAATCTAGCGCCGGTGTCCCTCTGTGTTGGGTCAGGCTCCCCCACGCGGAAGTCGGCATAGGAGACCTAATGCACATGCACGGCAATGGCCACGCTTGAATAAGGATTTTCCCATAGGAAAGCATTAATCAATTCTTGATTTTGGCAATTCGGCACTTCGGACATTCGAAAGCACCCGAATGTCCGAAATGCCCAAAATTAGTCCGAATTCACATTTGGACCGAAAGGAAATGCACATGTCTAGAGAGGCTTGCTCTATCAATGTTAATTAAGGAACTGCCTAAATTCTTTATTTTGATGAGTCCTATAGAAACCCATCCAGTGCTAGAGCATCTGCACTTTCTGAGGATTTTGGAAGGGTACAAATAAATGTGTTTGGATTGGACCCCATAAATTCTGTGTCTTTTGTGAACATAGCTCTAAGTAGTTGTCAATCCCTGTGATACATCAAATATCTAGTATTCCAGTGAGCAGCTTTATTAGCAGAGATTGGACAAATTCTTTGGCTTGCTTTCACCCAGATTAATCACATTACAAATGCAGATACAGTATGTTTTCCATTCTCAGAAAGACGGGACGAGAGACTCCGTGTACTCACAAGCAGTTTACATTTTGGACACTTCTGGCCATGTACCCACTACGTGTATCCCAGCTGCATCTGCTGGCATCGCATTCTATCACAATTCTAAGAGATACTTCAAAATTCGCTCTTCCATTCCATGTGCTCATTGCCATCATTGTGAGTCAGTTTGCCTCCAGATCTAAATGAGTTTTCCTGAGCACGTCACACATATAGGCAGTTGTTTTGTTTTCGATCTTTTTAAAGCCCTGTACTATCGAGGCCCTTGGGATACAGATTGAATGCAGGCTGAGAGCATCCTTTAATAAATAAACAGTCTCGGTTTAACTGGCAGAATTTCCTTTCTGATAAATTTTGATTGGGAACCTGGGTAACTCAATAACACCTAGAATTCACAATGGATATGTCTATATGTGTGTCTATGTGTTTGACTGTTTACCTCTTAGTGACTGATTGCTATGTTTACATGAGTTCTTGTGTGGGTTACTGAGGTCTTTGTATTTTTTTTTTCTTTCAGTGAGCAAAGGCCACTTCCTCCCTCCATACAGAGAGCGACACAGAGAGCACTGGCCACTTCCTCCCTCCATACAGAGAGCGACACAGAGAGCACTGGCCACTTCCTCCCTCCATACAGAGAGCGACACAGAGAGCACAGGCCACTTCCTCCCTCCATACAGAGAGCCACACAGAGAGCACAGGCCACTTCCTCCCTCCATACAGAGAGACACACAGAGAGCACTGGCCACTTCCTCCCTCCATACAGAGAGACACACAGAGAGCACTGGCCACTTCCTCCCTCCATACAGAGAGACACACAGAGAGACCAGGTCACTTCCTCCCTCCATACAGAGAGACACACAGAGAGCACAGGCCACTTCCTCCCTCCATACAGAGAGCCACACAGAGAGCACAGGTCACTTCCTCCCTCCATACAGAGAGCGACACAGAGAGACCAGGTCACTTCCTCCCTCCATACAGAGAGACACACAGAGAGCACAGGCCACTTCCTCCCTCCATACAGAGAGCCACACAGAGAGCACAGGTCACTTCCTCCCTCCATACAGAGAGCCACACAGAGAGCACAGGCCACTTCCTCCCTCCATACAGAGAGCGACACAGAGAGCACAGGCCACTTCCTCCCTCTATACAGAGAGCCACACAGAGAGCACAGGCCACTTCCTCCCTCCATACAGAGAGCGACACAGAGAGCACAGGTCACTTCCTCCCTCCATACAGAGAGCGACACAGAGAGCACAGGCCACTTCCTCCATACAGAGAGCGACACAGAGAGCACAGGCCACTTCCTCCCTCCATACAGAGAGCCACACAGAGAGCACAGGCCACTTCCTCCCTCCATACAGAGAGCCACACAGAGAGCACAGGCCACTTCCTCCCTCCATACAGAGAGCCACACAGAGAGCACAGGCCACTTCCTCCCTCCATACAGAGAGCCACACAGAGAGCCCAGGTCACTTCCTCCCTGCATACAGAAGCCACACAGTGAGCACATGCCACTTCCTCCCTCCATACAGAAAGCCACACAGAGAGCACAGGTCACTTCCTCCCTCCATACAGAGAGCGACACAGAGAGCACAGGTCACTTCCTCCCTCCATACAGAGAGCCACACAGGGAGCACAGGTCACTTCCTCCCTCCATACAGCGAGCACAGGCCACTTCCTCCCTCCATGCAGAGAGACACACAGAGAGCACAGGCCACTTCCACCCTGCATACAGAGAGCCACACAGAGAGCACAGGCCACTTCCTCCCTCCATACAGAGAGCCACACAGGGAGCACAGGCCACTTCCACCCTGCATACAGAGAGCGACCTGTGCTCTCTGTGTGGCTCTCTGTGTGGAGGGAGGAAGTGGCCTGTGCTCGCTGTATGGAGGGAGGAAGTGACCTGTGCTCTCTGTGTGTCTCTCTGTATGGAGGGAGGAAGTGGCCAGTGCTCTCTGTGTGGCTCTCTGTATGGAGGGAGGAAGTGGCCTGTGCTCGCTGTATGGAGGGAGGAAGTGACATGTGCTCTCTGTGTGTCTCTCTGTATGGAGGGAGGAAGTGGCCTGTGCTCTCTGTGTGGCTCTATGTATGCAGGGTGGAAGTGGCCTGTGCTCTCTGTGTGTCTATCTGTATGGAGGGAGGAAGTGGCCAGTGCTCCCTGTGTGTCTCTCTGTATGGAGGGAGGAAGTGGCCTGTGCTCTCTGTGTGGCTCTCTGTATGCAGGGTGGAAGTGGCCTGTGCTCTCTGTGTGTCTCTCTGCATGGAGGGAGGAAGTGGCCTGTGCTCGCTGTATGGAGGGAGGAAGTGACATGTGCTCCCTGTGTGGCTCTCTGTATGGAGGGAGGAAGTGACCTGTGCTCTCTGTGTGGCTCTCTGTGTGGAGGGAGGAAGTGGCCTGTGCTCGCTGTATGGAGGGAGGAAGTGACCTGTGCTCTCTGTGTCGCTCTCTGTATGGATGGAGGAAGTGACCTGTGCTCTCTGTGTGGAGGGAGGAAGTGGCCTGTGCTCGCTGTATGGAGGGAGGAAGTGGCCTGTGCTCTCTATGTCGCTCTCTGTATGGAGGGAGGAAGTGGCCAGTGCTCTCTGTGTGGCTCTCTGTGTGGCTCTCTGTGTGGAGGGAGGAAGTGGCCTGTGCTCGCTGTATGGAGGGAGGAAGTGACCTGTGCTCTCTGTGTGTCTCTCTGTATGGAGGGAGGAAGTGGCCTGTGCTCTCTGTGTGGCTCTCTGTATGCAGGGTGGAAGTGGCCTGTGCTCTCTGTGTGGCTCTCTGTATGGAGGGAGGAAGTGACCTGTGCTCCCTGTGTGGCTCTCTGTATGGAGGGAGGAAGTGGCCTGTGCTCTCTGTGTGGCTCTCTGTATGCAGGGTGGAAGTGGCCTGTGCTCTCTGTGTGTCT